CAAGGGGTGTGGTGCAAATAGGGGCGTGGTGCCGGGGCCGCAAAAATACGATGTCAGGTGCGATGTCCGCAGGTCCGTGGCATGCCGATGCCAACAATGCTGGCTTTGCGTTTACTGTTTCGAACAACGTCATACAGTCGGGGCGCTGAAGAAGGAACCCTGTTCGTTGGGGAGGGTCTCGGTGTTCCTTGATTGTTTCACAGTTTGCCTCATGTTTTCTTCAGATTTTCGATGGGAGGTCGAAGTTTAACTTCTGGAGAAAGGGGCCTCGTTCCTTATTTAGGGTTCCTTAGGTCAACGCCCCGACTGTAATTCCTGTTTCCACTTTCCCCAGACCTCCACCGCCCCGTTGGAACGGCGACACGACAGGCCCATTCCACGACGCCCGATCACCAGGCACGCGGTTTCAGACATTCAAAACCGCGAATCACATTTACCAGCCTGGAACATATCCCTATCCCTATGCTGGGCATCTCCTCATCACGGTGCCAATTCTTGGGATTCCCATATTTTTGAGGGCGAACCCCTAAGATTGTCGCCGCCCTTTGGCGTGCCACTCTTAGGGCTATAGGGATACGTTCGAGGCTGGTAAAACATGATTCCATGATTTCCGTACCGCCAAGAGCATACTCCAGATTTCGTAATAAAGGGAGGGGGGTCTCATTTCGGGGGAGGTCTTTTCCAAGCTATCTTGGAGGGCCTGGGGTGGTCTGGGGACGATGTTTTGGAGGGTTCTCCCACGAGGGGGGGTCTGAAATGGCTTGTCTTGGAGGGCCCAGACCCCCTCCCTTTTATTACGAAATCTGGAGTACATAATTATCGAGCAAGAGATCCGGAGGTTTCGGAATCTCCAGCATATCGCGTGGCTGGTGATCGGGCGTCGCGGACGGGCCTTGTTGCCGCCGTGCAAAGGGGACGGTGGTCGTTTGGGGAAGTTGGAGCCAGGAGTGTTGACGTTGTTTGGAGCGGTCGACGCAGAGCCAATGTTGTTGGCATCGGGGTGCGACGCACTTGCGGCTATGGTAAGTCACATCGCCAGTTTCAGCACTGGCACCGCACCCCTTTAAACCACACCCCTCAACGGGGTGTCGCGTGCGTTCCCAGTGATTCAGAATGCCATCTCTCGAGAAACTGGGTAGTCCTCTGCTCCGAGAGCCGGTGATTCGACAATCACGGTTTCTCAGTTGTTTGAGTTCCTACGGGTGTTGCAGCGTCGTGAACTGTTTCATTGCCGGTGTGATAACCGAGTTGCTGCCGAAGCCCAGTTTCAGCAGCCTGATGGCCTTCGTTCGCAAGGGGCTGGCGGATCCTGCTCCTCCTCGTTCACGCTCCTCGTCCTTCATCCTCATTCTCCGCTCCTTTCTCTGCTATTTTCTTCGTCTTTTTCCATCCCTCCCAGCGACGGCGACGGCGGCGGGGGCGACGAAGACGACGATGATGACCGCGGCGCAGGTGGAAGCGATCCCCGATCGCGCCCGCAGCGCCACCTACAACGCGCTGCCAGACATGGCGCGTCTCAGTGCCAGGCGCCGGGCGATGGATAGGATGTTAATAATGGTGGTGGCGGTGATGATGATGATCATGCTGCTGTTGAAGAGGATGATGCTTCTGACGATGACGACGATGATGATGAGAGGGAGGATGACGAGGATGGGGAGGATGAGGAGGAGTGAGAACGATGACGAGGATGGGGAGGATGAGGCTGGCACAGACAGAATGATGACGATGCTGCTGCTGCTGATGATGATGATGCTGATGCTGATGCTGATGCTGATGATGATGATGATGATGATGCTGATGATGATGATGATGATGATAACACTGATGCTGATGCTGATGCTGCTGCTGATGATGATGACCATGAAGGTTATGGAGATGACGATGATGATGATGCTGCTGCTGATGATGATGCTGATGATGATGATGATGAGGATGAGGATGAGGATGAGGATGAGGATGAGGATGAGGATGATGATGATGATGATGATGATGATGATGATGATGATGATGATGATGATGATGATGATGATGATGATGATGATGATGATGATGATGATGATGATGATGATGGTGACGATGATGATCATGGGCAGTTCTAGAACAGTAATCGTAGGGCGGTTGAAGGCCGTGCAGTGTCTCCGAAACTGCCTCGGCTCAAGCCTTTTTCGTAGGGAGGCCTCCGAACACTGCCGCGCCCAGGGTCTGGATGCGTGCGGTGGGCCAGTGCGCTGTGCTCCTGGCCTTCCACGTGGGCTCCGCCTGGGTCGGCCAGCTCTGGGCCGCTTCTCGGGCACCGAGCGCTCCGCCTCCGGCGCGGGCGCCTGCGGCGCCAGCGCCCGCCCCGCCAGCGCGGGGCTCGCCGGCGGCCGCCGCGCCGCCCACCGCCGCGCTGGCCCAGGAGCTGCGCGCGGAGCTGGAGGCGTGCCTCCCGGCTTGCCCGCCGGTGCACCTGGCCGCCTGCCCTGACCCTTGCCCGGCGTGCCCCGAGCCGGCCAAAGGGGAGTTCAACTGGGGCGTCGAGGTCTCGTTCGGCCTCTTCACGCTCTTTGTGTGGGAGCTCTGCAGGCTCGGCGTGGCCAGGGCCCAGGCGGTGCTGGCGAGGCTGTGGCCGTGCCGGCCCGCGTGCGTGCCTGCCCTCATGGACGCCCGGGAGGGCGGGCCCAGACCGCAGGCCGGTGATCGGCGAGTGCCAGGCGGACGCGGGCTCATCACGCCAGCGGTCAGTCAATGAACATTGGTGATGAGGTATTGGTCGAGTATGATTTGGCTGGGGCCCCTCTGCTACACTCTCGGATCGTCGTTGGGGTCTCTCAAGTGGACGCTTATCATGCTGCGGTGGTGTCTTCCGATTACGATGTCTTCGTCGAGATCTTCACAGAGGACAATGATGATGTGCGCCATTGGTACCGGCAGCTTCCAGGTGGACTCCTCCTCAGGAGCGATGGCAACGTGGTCCCAGCGGCGGCGGCAGGGGCCCTCAGGCGCTACGAGTTCGCTGCGCACCCGACCGCCGCCGAGATGCAGGCCTTCATGCAGCAGGCTGGTCACGTGCTTGCTGGTCACGATGCTGCACTGGGAGCGGTCGCCGCAGTCTTGCCGGCGGGGCCCGTGGCCGCCGCCGGAGCCGCCCCACCCGCTCCTGCAGGCCCCCCGGCTGGGGGCCTCGCGCTCGCAGGCGGGGCGCAGGGTGGGCTGGCTGGGCTGCTCGCTGGCGCTGGGGGCGCCGCGGGCGCAGCAAGTGGCGGAGGCGTGCAGGTTCCACCAGCCGCGCTGTGGCCGATCCGGCTGCAGCGGGAGGCGGGGGAGCCGCCCTTGCCGCGGCCCTGGCTGGCCCGGCGCTGGGCCAGGCGGGAGCTGGAAACGCCGCCGGTGTGGAGGCCGGCGTGGACGAGAGCGGGGACTGCCGCGCGCCCATCGTTGCCTACGACATCAACGGGAAGCGGCACCGCTCCTTCGCCGCGGCGGTCGGCCTCCTCCGCGCCACCACCTGGGCGGACTGGGTGGTCCCCGGACCGCGGACAGTTTGTTGGGTCGCAGTCTTCATGCTGGAGAACGGTGGCAGCGCCCTCTCTCACCACGTTCAGTGGAGGTCGGCCCTTCGGCTTGGACTGGAGGACGCTGTGGTCTCGAACCACTTGGAGTTCTCCAAGATCTTTGAGACGGCGTTGTGCTTTGACCAGCTGGACGTGTCGAATTTGGCCAGCCTTGAGCTCGTCGCTCGTCAGCTTCAACCGTGTGAAGAACGCCACAACGATCGGCTGTTGGGCACGACTCGTGACGGCAGCGGCATCCGGGGCGAGGAGTTCTACTTCGCAGGGATGGGCAGCGCGCGCGGGCTCATGGTGGCGCCCGAGTTGTCGACCTGGATCAGCGAGCAAATCTCCCGCGAGAGTGCCGTGGCCAAGGAAAGGAGGAAAGCCAGAGAAGAGAGGGCGCTCGCCCAGCCCAAGCAGAAGCCAAAGGGCGGCAAAGACGGCAAGGAGGGGGAGTGATCTTTCCTTCGCCTCCCACGATTTCGGCTGCCTGCCGCTCCATGGCCCGGGGCGCGTGGGCCTTCTGGTTTTCGGCCACGAGGGGGAGATGCGCCGGCGGGACGTCTTCCCCTTGCCCCTTCTTCCTCTTCCTGATCCTGCTGGTCATGGCTGTCGCGCTGTCGCTCGCCGTGGCCAGCGCCGTCGACACTCCATAGAGTGGGCCAGCGACGGCGTCACTTCCCTGAACGCCCTCTCTGGGCGCGGGTCGGAGGCTTCTGGTTTGCCCGGCGCGGTCCAGTCCAGTGCGCTGTCCTCGAGCACGTGGGGCGCACCTGCTGCGCCGTGGGCGCCTGCCCCGCCAACCTCCGCCGCCCCTGGGGCCTTCGTGAGCTCTGCGGCAGCGCTGCCATGTGCGGCGATTGCTCGACTACCGTCGTATCCTACAACCAGGGCGCTGCGTCCTGGCTGGCCGTGGGGGCCCAGCCTGCGTCGTTGGGCTCTGCGCTCCCAGCCGCGCGCCCTACCTGGTTGAGGGACTTGGCGGCCAACGTGCGAAGACATCCAGCTGCAGCGGCTGCCCTTCGGTCTGAGCTTGGGCTTCTACGTCCTTATCTTGGCCCTGCACTCCGGGACCAACGAGAGTGCGGTGATTTCGCGAAAGATCTGGTCAGCCGTGGCATGGCCAGATTGGTTCCTTGTGCCGACCTCGGGGGAGGCGGCGCGACCGTCGGCCTGTTCTTCGTTCGGAAGAAGTCCGGCCAGCAGAGGATCATCTTCGACACGCGCCCCACCAACTGCGACTTCGAGGCCCCCTTTTCGACCCGTTTGCCGTCAGCTGGGGCGTTCGCCAGGATGGAAGCCCAGGAGTGCGACGTGGTGTGGTGCAGCTCTGGCGACATCCAGAACGCGTTCTACGCCATCGAGGTGCCCGAGGAGCTCGGCTCGAGTTTCAGGCTCCCCAGCGTGCGAGGTGGTGCAGCGGGGCTTCGAGGCCCGGCAGGTGCCGCCATGTGCACGCTGGTGCTGACTGTGCTGCCCATGGGGTTGAGCTGGGCGCTGCACCTCTGCCAGCAGGTGACCGAGGAGGGCGTCTCCCGCGGCGGCCGCGACCCAGGCGCTCTGGCGAAAGACCGCGAGGCCGCGGCGCCGCTGGGGCCTTCGAGGCCGTTGGCTGCAGCTGGCTATGTGGACAACTACATGGTGATGGGGGGGCCGCGAGAGCGAGTCGCGGCTGGCGGGCAGTCGGTCGCCTCCGCGCTGAGGGCCCAGGGGTTCGTCATCCACGAGGGGACCGACGGAGCCGTGTGCCAGACGGACTCCGTGGGCCTAAGCTTTGACGGCAAGGGGCGCGCGATCGAGATCTCCACGAGACGCATGTGGCGGCTGCGGCTCGCCATCGATGAGTTGCTGAGGCGTGGCTCCTGCTCTGGACACGTGCTGGAGATCGTCGTGGGGCGCGCCGCGTGGATCATGATGGTGCAGAGATCCACGCTGTCGATCTTCAGCCCCGTCTACCCCTTCATCGAGATCCTGGGGGGCGAGACTGGCGCTCTGTGGACCTCTGTGAAGGAGGGGCTGGAGCACGTCAGGAACCTTTTCCCTATGGTGGTCGCGCGCACCAGCCGCGGCCGGCACCCCAAGGTGACGGCCAGCGACGCTTCGCACTGGGGCTGCGGGGTTTGCGAGCGGACCGCGCCGGCGGAGGAGGTGGCTCGCTGGGGCCGCGCTGCCGAGCGGCGGAAGTATCGCCAGAGGGCTGCCGCTGCCCGCGCGCGCCTTCAACGGGGAGGCCGGGAGGCTGGGCGACGTGCTGGTCCAGGACGACCTGCCGGACAGCCTGCAGCAGGCCGAGGGGCATGCCAGGGCGTTCGACATGATAGACAAGGACTTTACCCGCCCAGAGGCCTGGCACATCGTCGAGTCCTTTCAGTGGCGGGGCCCGGCGAACAATCTTCGGCTTGAGGGGCTCGCTCTGTCTAACTCGCTTCGCCGCCTCCTTCGCGATCGAGGGGCCTTCGGCCATCGTTTACTGCTCTTGGTCGACAACCTCGGCCTGGCCCTCGCGGCTGGGAAGGGCCGCTCGGCCGCGTTCCAGCTTCGAGATATCCTCAGGGAGATATCGGCACTCACCCTCGCATGTGACATCCAGGTGTGCGTTCGCTGGGCCCCGTCCGAAAGGAACCCGGCCGACAACCCCATCAACAGGACTCTATTTCCTCAAGTCGCAGGGCGAGGCGGACGGGCCCCCATGGTCTGGCTGCTGGCGCTGCTGGAGCTGACCTTCCGGCCGTGCCATGCTTCCCGCCCCTCGGCGAGGTCTCGTCCGTGCGAGACGACCTCGCTGAGGCCGACAGTGGTGCCCTGGACGGAGATACTGGGAGCAGCGCGGTCAGCAGTGGCTGCAGCAGCGCGAAGGACCCGGTACCACCCGCCATCAGCAGAAATGGAGCTCCCCCCGGGCTCGTTGCTGCCCACCTTCCTGGAGTCTCGGTCGGTGGCTAAGGCAACGTTCACCGACTACAAGAAGCGAGTCAAGATCTTCCTCGCTTGGG